AAATGCGCCATTGGAATTGGTGGGTCCAATGAGTCGTGGCTGAGGGTCTTGCCGAAGGCCGAACACCGGTCCATAGACCGTGACACCTGTAGCCGCATCCCAGAGCCAGACCGTCCCGTCGCCTGAGGCCGACGCCACCACCTGGCCGTCCTGTCGTCTGAGGCCGACGCCACCACCTGGCCGTCCGGCGAGAAGGCCACCGCCCTGACGGCGGACGTATGGCCTTCGAGCGTCTGCCGCAGCGCATCCCAATCAGATTTCACGCCATGAACACGAGGCAGATTTAGTGGGCGTTAGTCCTAATATCTTTCGCGGACTTTGCTTGCAACCGGACAGAACAGTATCAACGCCGCATAGATTTGAAGCGGTGTCTGCTTAATCATAGATCTAAAGCTAGCCACGATATTGCTTGCATCTGTAATAAACTCTCTCAGTTCTGCAGGTGCATTAGGATCCTGCCATGAGAAGTGTTAGCCTAAGTATAGCGCGACAAAACCACTACTTACCTGGCATATCTTTAGAAGTTGCTTAATCGCAGCAACACCATCCTATGCGTTGCCCAGCAGTCCTAGGACTTCTAACTAATAAAGGAGGTGTGTGGTGAGGAACATATAAACTAACATATAAACGTCATTTCCTAAAGACCCTCCGCTTTGTTGTAAGTGGTAAACCTAATAGAGGCATGCGTACTGCAGATCGGCAGGGATATATGTATTCATCACTTCCTTATCGATCTTATCTCTTTGCACGTCTGGCTTTTGAGTATTGCAGATATCCTATCTAAGTCTGCCGTTCATACGCTTTATACGCTGAATGCATTTTGCCGCTAGCATAGCGTGGGTTTTTACAGCATTTACATAATAATTACTCGTCTATATATCCTCAGAGTTAAGCAGAAAGTTGCTGAATGATTTGTGTAGCAATCGTATAGAGTGATGAGGCTTAGGAGGGATGTCCAGCACTACATATAACTCTGGAAGCCACTAGTTCACGTCATCTATATCTATACTGAGAAGAATAGTGAGAGAGACAGCAGGCAGTAGGGTAGCGAGAAGAATAAGAGCCCCTAGGAACTGCAGCTGCAGGCCAGATTCTGCTTCTTCATGCCTAAGGAACACTTGATTAAGAATAGGATCGTAGATTTGGTGCAGCTGGGACTTGCTATTCTTATATTCCTTGAGCTACAGCTTCAGCTGGGTCTTAGGATTGCAGGGCCTCTTTTCGTTATAGACGAACTGATATAGAGTTGCAGCGTAGATAAAGAGGGGTTCAGGGGTTATAGCTAGTTGGACCATGCGATTCAGTTTGTTAACAGTAGGCTATAGGTCTTGCTGCACGTTGCGCCTTGTTTTGATTTCTGCAAATCTTGCCTTCAGAAAGGTTTGGATGTCGGTCTTTATATCTTAAACAAATGCTTAGTGAAGCTTAAGCTTACGAGCAGTCTTGTTTTCAATAAAGGGCTTGAGGGTCTTGCTGATTTTAGGAGTGGACCTGCTTATGAGGAGAACACGCAAGCATATTATGCTCACATCCTGAAGTTTGCCCAGTAATACAATAACTAACGACAGATGCTCAGGACGCTCACATTCATCTAGGGCATCGATGATGATCACCCTGAGCATTTGTCTGGTGCTAGTGGAACTCAAATCTATCAGAGGACTGAAAATAAGCTTGTCAAACTGCATCCCTGTCAAGACCCTTGAGAGTGCTCTGAAGATAGCCTTTAAAGCGGGGAACCATATCCGCCAGTTGCATCGCAAGGGTGGAGAACAGGCGGTTGGTGTCATTGCAGCCCTGTTCTCCTCTTTTGAAGAAGTACCTAGCAACCAGTCGTTTCTCTCTGGCTAAAGAGTCTGCAACTATACGCGTAATAGTAGACTTGCTGGTCCCTGCCGGACTAACGAGCCAGAAAATAGGCTCGCCAGATTCATCATCTGCCTATTGATAGATCGTCTGCTGGATGTGAGTCTGAGTGCCACTCTCACATCTCGGGCTGTCTTGGACGTCAGCACTATCATAGCGCGCTTCATAGACAATAGGAAGGTCTAGAGGGCGACTCTCAAGTGTTTAGCTATATATCGTGAGCATAGGTCTATGAAATAGAGTGAAACATACTTTGTGCGCTTATGCTCAGAGAGCTGTTGGAACGAAATTTCACGATGATCGGCAGCCACTTGCAGGTGTTCTTTTGCGACTGATAGAAAGTTTCATATGTCAGTTCTGTATTATTCTCTTATTCTGGAGTTGTCAACTAATTTCCCTATAGTTATAATAACAATAGCATTTATCGAGAAACAAAAGTCACTTACTAGAGACCAGCTGTTGAATAGGCTTCTGCTCTTAGACCCTATCTGGCCGTATGATTGAAAGAAGCTCCTTTGTAAACGCTGCAGCTGTTGCAGCTGCGTATTCTTACTATAACTTATTCTTATGAGAGTCAGAATAGTCATAGATACCACGAACGATAAGATATAGAAAGTCCTATAGCCCTGCAGCTTCCATCTTAAAACAGAGCGCATCAAGTTCTTTAGCCATTTTATCGCGCGTCTTTCTATGCTTAATAACCTGATTGCCAGACGCAATAGTTCCGTAATAAATGACTAGGTCTGTGTTATCTCTCGCGTCGCGTGGAATTATATACGTCCGATCACACTGGTCATAAGTAGAGTCCTGCTCAGTATGCTTATACTCAGCTTGATAGAGACAGTCGTTTGAGGAGCGTTGATAGCTGAACTTCTTCTTCATCATCTTCAGGCTTTTCTGTATAAGCTTAGACAGGTATTGCAGTATTTTGCTGTCTTTGGTCATATGCTCAGCTTGTAAGCGGCCTAAGCCTGTCAACAGAACTTGGGGTGGGCTATTGAGTGACCCTGTGCAGTGGAACTCCCCATCCTGCACTGTCTTGCCCCAATCGTACTAGATGGCGCCTCCACTGGTTCCAGTTGGTTGGCTCACCACAATATCGCCTAGTCAGATGTCGTTTGTTTGCGAAGGCGCACCCCCTCTAATGCTGACGAGTAGACCAAATCGAATAGCCTTAAAAGTTCGTAATAGGTCTTTAGCGACAGTAGCTGCTGTTGTTATGCTATAAATGCCTACAGGCAGGCAAGCGATCACGATGTTGTAGCCCTGAATTTGGCCTAGAATGTAGTTGTTGTGATCGGCTGGGTCTTGATAGGGTAGGTCTAGGTGTATCTGGTTGAGTATTCCCTTTGCAGCAGCTATCTTAAGCGGGAGGGCGCATACCCAGCCCACAGTGTATTCGTCCGAGGTTATAGCAGGTCTATTCTTAGACGTATCGATCGTATGGAATCGCTTGGATGGTTGAGGGTTTAAGTTAACAACATCAGCACCTGATGCTATCTCAGTAAGTCTATGATCTCTCAGCATAGGGATGTGAAGTCTTATAGAGCTCTGCGCTACAGTTGCGCTTACGCCCACCGCCTACGCTAGTCTGCGCGATAGTTCTAATATTATCGTTAGGTTTAGCGTTAGTGCTCAGATCGGGCATAGTGACGAAGCATATCTGCGCGGAATGGTATCCTGTCGAGATGGAGACATTCTCCCCCACAGACACTGCATGCAGTTCCACAATCGTTCACCTTCTGGCTTGCATGTGATATAAGCATTCAGTTCGTCCTATTTAACTACTGATAGCTCACTCCGCGACATAGGTCGGCAAGGTAGCTGACAGGTAGCCTGCTGCGCCGCTCGCACTGCCGCAGTAGACCAATAGGACTGGAGCGGACGTCTGTACTTAGAGTACCCTTAGGTACTTTCAATTAAAAGTAATCAAAGCTATTATGGGACGTTTGTAGCCTAATCTGCAGCCCAATTTGGATCTCTGAGAAATTACAAGGTACCTTGAGGTAATATAAAGTCGTCTCTGCTATTGAAAGATAGAATGTTCGTGCACAAAGCGGAAGAGACATTTGCACCAAACTGTATCTCATCGCTAGTACCCAGCTGGTTGTCTCCGAAGCCGGATCTGTCGTTAAAATAATCTAGAAGCTGCGATTAGGCGTCTAGATCGGAATGCATCTGCTCTTGTATCATGAAATGGCGTCTCTCAATTTCTGTAGCTGGAAGCAATGTACGACGAAAAGGTCATTAGCTGGCCTCTTTTCCCAGATTCTAGATGGATTGTGCTGCAGTTCATGAAAGTGTTGACCTTTAACACACTCACTACGCTTCTAGCCATCACCACCCTGTACAGTACTGTCGCCTTCACATGTACTCAACAGTCGACGAGGTCTTCGAAATCCAACACACGGCATAGTCAACTCGAAGTCTCTGGGTAGACCTTAGCAGCTGACTAAGCAGCTACATGGGCATTTGTCAGGGATTTGCTGGGGATCTCATATCGCGGAGGAGGATGCGCTGCGGAAACGCAAGATTAGGCTCCGTCATGGCGTTAGGGGTTGCGGCGGGGGTGATGGCTGAGGATGGGTCCGCAAGGCGGTTGATGAAAGCAGTTCCAGGACGTTCCATAGTTCTTGAGCCGTTAGGAACTCCATTGTGGAGAATAAAGCTGCTGTTCTGGCGTAATTACAGGGATAGATTTATGTGGAGCTCTTTTAGGAGGTATTTTCGAATTTGCAAAATCTTGATTTGGATCGAAGGAATGTTATTCTGGAGTTTTGGGCGATCAAGAACTCACTCGCCCCTTCACAGCCTGCCGACTGCAACGGGCATTTCTCATCGACCGAGCAATGGGATGATTCACATCACCGTGAGCGCGTCCAGAAGTGCATGCTGACAGTTGCGGGACTCGGCAGTTTCTTCCACCATGATTCGCCCGCGGCACAGCACTCAGCCGCACATGGCTGGCGGCAAGAGGGATTTCCCCTCTCGCAATTGTTAGCTTACCTGAGCGACGACATTAAACGTCAGGTCTCCATTTCCACAGATTCACACGACGGCCTAGTTTCTTTCCTGCCGCTTCTGACGGTCCGAGCGATTCGAATTACTGCAGACTACTCTCGTTCGGCCGACCGAAGATGTTGCAGGGACGGAGCCGCGACGACTACACGGTGGCGTGGATCTGTCCGCTGGAGGTGGAGCAGATCGCAGCGATAGAGATGCTGGACGAGGAGCATACTATATTACCCAAGTCCTCAGCAGACCATAACGTGTACAGCCTCGGGAGCATCAACAGCCACAACATCGTTATCGCAGGTCTGCACCAGCCTAGGAACTGCCCCGCAGCTACAGTTATGGCGCAGATGAGGATGACATTTCCCAACTTGCAATTCGGTCTCTTGGTCGGCATTAGCGGTGGAGTTCCCGTTCAGACAGATAATAGGATGATACGACTAGGTCATGTGGTTGTGAGCAAGCCTGCGGGTGGACACTCCGGCGCTCTGCAGTACGATCATAGAAAAGCGAGAGACGGTCACTTCGAGCGGACAGATGCCCTGGCACCAGCAGCAGCAGTTCTTCTCAATACTGCGCAGGCGCTAGCAGTGCAGCGGGCAAGGCTGGATGTCGATCCGGTACAGCACGACGTCCGTCGAATCGACACAACGCGTCGTAGGCTTCGACGGTACCAGTATCCCGGCGAGCAAAACGATCATCTTTTCCCACCACATTACAAGCACCATCGTCAAGGATCATGCAACACCAAGTGCAACCTATCGAAGCGTATACCTCGAACGAGCGATAATGACGACACGTTTGTTGTTATGCACAGAGGCAATATCGCATCTGGAGAGATGGTGGTGAAGGATGCGTTGCTGAGGGACATACTAACTCAGCAGGATGGGCTTTTATGCTTTGAGATGGAGGCTGCTGGGGCAATTACCGACTTTCCTTGCCTTGTTGTGCGCAGCATCTCAGACTACTGCGACTCGCATAAGAACGACATGTGGCACAGGTACGCGGCAGCTGTGGCAGCAGCGTATGCCTGACAGCTCTTCTTCCACCTGCCCGTAGATGAAGTGCAGCGGTAAGAGGATTTATCAGATTGCACATAATGGTCTATAGTATTAGTAGCTAATACATCCAACCAGGTGCTCCAGCAATGCAAGACAGACAGCTTCTCCTTCATTCATACTCCCCTTCAAGCTGCCAGGAGTTCACAGCGTGAACCACTTTGTAGCCAGAGAAGAACTCGGGCGTCTCTATAACGAACTGAAGTGGACTGGAGACCGTCGAACGGTTATTCTGCATGGCCTGGGTGGCTTGGGCAAAACTCAGACGACGATCGCATTCGCGAAGAAACATCGCAATGATTACTCAGCGGTTTTTTGGCTTGATGCGAGAGACAAGACAGCGCTCAAGCTAAGCTACCAAGGCCTAGCCTAGCGAATTGCAACAGAGACATCGTCCGTGACATATATCAACAACGCCCTTTCTAGTTGAGACCTCGATAAGACGGTCAGTGCAGTTAAGCGATGGTTAGATGAACCAAAGAACAATCGTCGGCTGATGATCTTTGACAACTACGATGACGTCAAACTTCACAATCGTGGTGGTCCTGGTGAGAACGAGACTGGTTTGCAAGTAGGGAACGAGAATGATGCTAGCGAGACAGGCTCGAAAGCCTACGACATACGCCCTTTTTTTCCTGATACAGAACACGGCGCTACCCTCATCACAACACGCTCGTCATCTGTGAAGCTTGGACAGCGCGTGCAGCTCAGGAAGCTAGCCAGCCTCGAGGACAGTCTAGCGATCCTGGCATCTACATCTGGCCGCACTGATCTTGGCAAAGGTAAATGTGGTACGCCTTTTATGGGCGATTAGCTAACGCTGTATAGATCCTGACGCCGCAGTCCTTGCAAAGAAGCTTGATAGGCTTCCACTCGCCCTCGCAACAGCTGGGGCTTACCTAGACCAAGTAGCAACTAGCTGCAGGGAGTATCTAGAGATGTATGAAAAAGCATGGTTACGCCTACAAAAAGAGAGTCCAGGATTGATGGCATATGATCGTGCCCTATACTCCACGTGGAATGTCTCACTCCGTCATATCCGGCTGCAAAACCAGAATGCCGCCGACTTGCTTGGACTTTGGGCGTATTTCGACAACCATGATGTATGGTATGAACTGCTGCGGGCAGGGAAGTCGGAGAAGCCGCTTTGGCTACATAAGACGATGGAGGACAGACTAAACTTTGATAATGTAGTTAGACTACTCTGTGACCATGGGCTGGTAGAACCGAACGCCACCGTGAGTGAATTGGGATCAGAATCATAAGGATACAGCATGCATAGCTGTGTTCATGCATGGACGATCCATATGCTCAATACCGAGCGAAGTCAAGAGCTAGCCTGGATCGCGATACAATGTGTGGCCTCTCACATACCCAGTCAACAACAAAGCAATTATTAGGTAGTGCAACGTCGACTCTTGCAACATGCGGATCAATGCATCAAGATGTTCGATACCAATGCCAACTTGGAAGACGATGCGTGGATGTTCCACGCACTAGGCAACCTCTACTCAGACCAGGGCCGACTCAAAGAGGCTGAGGACATGTATCTACGGGCTCTTCAAGGCTATGAGAAGGCACTGGGGCCAGAACACACATCGGCACTCGACACGGTCAACAATCTAGGCAACCTCTATGCAGACCAGGGCCGACTCAAAGAGGCCGAGGGCATGTACGAACGGGCTCTTCAAGGCTACGAGAAGGCACTGGGGCCAGACCACACATCAACACTCTTAACGGTCAACAATCTAGTCAGCCTCTACGCAGACCAGGGCCGACTCAAAGAGGCTGAGGCCATGTATGAACGGGCTCTTCAAGGCTACGAGAAGGCGTTGCACCCAGATACGCTGAGAACATATATCCCTGCCCTTAATGCCCTGGAAAATGTTGGCCGTCTGCTTGAGCAACTGGGTGCTACAGATAGAGCTCTCGAGCACCAAGGCAAGAGTCGGTTCCGCCGCCTCGTGTGGCTACTGATCATAGCCTGAGATATAAGTTGAAGAATTGGAAAGAAAGGCTGAAACGTGCGTAGCTTAATATTGGGAGCTGAGGCTTAAGATCCTTTTGGGACATTACTATGGTAATGTGGGCGGCGGTGGTCGTATTTGGAGTATTATTTGTGTTCATAACTTGCTTTATGCTCAGAATAATAAGACCTACTGTAATATATATGAATCTGTATAACCTGGTCCGCAGAAAACCCGATGCTCGTCATAATCTGGGTAGCTTACTGTGGAGCTGATTGGTTTGTAGCGGGATTGATAAGATAAGAATGCCTACTGTGCTAAGCGCCAAGAAGTCAAAATGTCTGTGCGGACAAAGACGAGAGAGTTGATGAGGATGAAGCCCTTTTCGTTAGCCACTGTACTTATGCATAGTGACCCTTATCAAGGCATATGATAATCAAGAAGTGGATTCGGCACAGGAGCTATAAGCTGCGCCAAACCGGTTACGGGTACAGCCGTATGAGATCGCACAGTGTAAGCGCCAAGAACAGGTGGGCCCGTGCGGAAACATGGAAGAGTGTTGAATTAAGCATGAAGCCCTTTTCGTTAGCCACTGTACACATGCGGGGTAGTAGCGAATTATCTTCATTTCCCTTACATATTCCCGCGGATAGAAGGCTTTTAAAAAGGGCAGATTTGGAGAAAAGTGGGTTATGCTTATACCGACGTCATCTCGCACTCGATGGGCCTCTCTGTAGCTTACTCTCCCTGTAGCTTACCCTCCCATTGCGGTGAACCGCTGCTGACGTATCTAACGCACTCTTCTTTTCTAACTGACTGTCCTGTCTTCCACTGGCTGCCCTGCCTCCTAATCCTATTCTGACTGTAGTGGATTGCCATCCACTATCTGTACTTTCAGCTGCTGCCTGCTACCCTATGTTTTGCTGACTATCCTCAGCCACACTGACTATTTGACATTGCGATCTGTTTCTGTGCCTGTACATACTGCAATTTGCATCCCTGCCCCCTCCCTCCCTCTCTCTCTCTCTCTCTGAGATGCTTAGGCGGCTGGATTTTGGAGAGGTATGGTCACAATTGAAGTCGATTTTCAGCTCTTCGTTAGGGAGCTCAGTTCATCTGAACTGTTTGTGAATCTTCAGATAAGCAACGTAGCAAGATTAATATGAACTCTGCCACCTGGCTGACTACACGTGTAATGCAAGGAGCGGTGACATGCACCTGGCTTTATTAAATCACAACCGCCCAAAAGCTAAGTCTAGCTTCCATTAAGCAGCAATATCAGCATAGAGCGACAAATATATGCTAATGCTTGCTTGTAGTACCAAGTCATTGCGCCCAAGCTGAGCATGTTTTTTCGTAGGGAAACATAAGGTCTTAAAAGCATAAAGTACAGGAAACTGTTTCGATTGCGAATGTACCGTATGCAAAGTGAGGCATCTAAGTGACGCTGTACTGTAGCACTGGGCGTTCTAGAACATAACGGGCAGCTACAGGGCGGCTTACAGGGAGGGTAAGCTACAGGGAGGGTAAGCTACAGGGAGAGTCAGGCATAAGGTAATCATGCCAGGACTCAGCTACTAGGTAGTCAGGGATTACTGTATATATATTCGTTAATAACAGGGATAGGGCAGCTTGCAACAAAGCGGTCAGATTGTCAGCAATAGGGTTTCTAGGCGTGTTGGAAGCAGTGTAATTAGCTAAGACGTAAGGTTATAGGGATAGCTATGCGATCAAACTGCTGCATAGTATCACGCTTATGATATCAAACAGGCGCAGGGATTTTCAGAGGAACCATGCGTATAAACCGCAGTAATGATGGCAGCATTGCATAGCATAGAACGTGCTTTCAAGCACCATACTCTAGAATCCCAGACAATAGAGAATCTGCACCCTAAATACCCCAAAACACCACCCTCTCTTAGGAGACTTAACATTCTTCCGTCTTTCCGCCCAGGCCCACCTGCTCTTGGCGCGTACACTATACGAAGTATGATTTTATATGGTTATACAGAGCATCAGCATCCAATCTGGCTTAGCTTATAGCTCTAGTGCTGATTCTACTTCTTGATTATCACACTCCCAGATAAGGGAACGCTATGCATATATAACTAGGAGCAAGGTCCCGCTCTTATGCCACGACAGACTTATGTGAGCTTATGCACTCTAATGCTCTAGAGAAACATTAGGATTATCTTATCGCTAACGCTTGAGTAATTATCTCCGAAGCTGAGTCTGTTGCAGAGGTAATCAGGAGGCTATTATTCTGCATTACGCTCTGTTATTGCAACTACTATCTCTCAGTTGATATTACTTATATGCACTGTGGTGGGATAAAAAGATCGCTAGCTGACCTGTTTTCCTAGTCCTAGTTTGTATAGTAGATAGATTATGCTGCGGTCTATAAACAGGTGGTGGCCTTTAACATATTCACTACGCCTCTAGCTTTTATTACGTCGCCGCCTTCCTTAAGGTCTAAGACATAGTGTTATCTACTTATAAGCCCTCATTAGAGTGTTACAGCTGCTTGAGAAAGCTATCTGCATATTTGTCAGATATTTGCTGAGGATCATATAGCGGAGGAAGATAGGGCTTAATTTCCTACTTACACAGCATTAAGCACTATCATAACGTTTAGGATTGCTGCGGGGACTATTTCTGAAAAACGGTCGGTAGGGCAGATAATAAAAAAACCACCAAACTGAGACTAAATACTGAACTATGCCTGCTCAGCCTTTCTGTCTGCTTTCATCTGTAGTCACACTCATGCAAGGATAGAAAAAGGGTTTCCATCTCAGTAATCGCCTTTCTTCTCTTGGACCTTAAGTTGCAAGAGGAATCGATCATCTATAGTCTTCTCAGCTGCTGTGGCGATTAGCAGGGTGGAATTGCGTAGTTATAAGGATATCAAGCTTACAGATTAAGTCTATGAATAATTCAGTCTCCATAATGACTGTGATCATACTATCGCAGAAAAATATATATAATTAATCGATTAGAACTATCTTATGGCTCAGATATCATCTTGTCCTTAGCTAGTTCCAGTCGTTGCTGCAGGTCTGCGTTTCATATTGCAATCACCCTAACCCCCCCCTGCAATAACTAAACCACGTTGCCGTCAAGACTTCTAAGACTGACCTCTTCCTGCCGTAGGATCTTTAAGTACTCCAGACAGAATGATATCATAATAGATTGACGGCCTGGAGTGTGTATCAAGGTTTAAGTTGGCGATTTTGACTAGTGATATCATCGTATGATTTGCGCGGCCCTCTCTTAGAAGATAATTTGCTGAGCATTTGGAAACTCTTAACGTCTCTCAGACTGGGAAATAGTGGAAAGTTCGCAATTAACTATCTTATCGATTATTAAAAGACGAAAAGTTTTTATGCTCTCTTCGAGGTATTGTCAACAAAAGCCGGCTTATATGGCGTTAGAGATAATACGCGCTATGACTGTAAGGAAGACATAGAGCCTATTCACCCTGGACACCGAATATTAGGTACCATCTGCAGCCGCGTGGTGGTAGTATATAGTAGAAACGTTAGTTAGACGATCATACTCTAGCTTTGCGTAGCTTGTAGCTAGGAATAGCCTTGGCCTAGAGTCGGCAGCAGAGAACAAAAACGCACAGATCGAGGTTGAATGACGGAAAGCCTTTATGTGTAATTCTGGAAACACCATCCCTCTCAGCTCTGGGAGAACACAGGGCCATGAATACTTGAGAACTGAAAAACAGACGACCGCTTAACCGTCGAGTCAACATATAGTGACAAATTCAGCGGCGAAATCGATGCTAATGGAAGCAGATAATAGCAACGCTCCTTAGTCGTGAGGAACCTATACTGTCGATCTATTTCGTCTGTATGGAAACTCCCTCGTGCGCTATCGTCTGCAATAAGCTTGGATTGCTGTCTAACGAGAAGTATGATTAACACTAGGCTGAATAAGTCAAAATGGTTCATGCCTAGGTTGTCTTTGCATAACAGAGTCCCTATATTGTGCAGCAAACATCAGCCGGTTGAGACCTATGCATAATGCGCCTGTTAAACCGAGCTAGTGTTTATTCTGCATCTGAGCGATCTAGTTAGCGACGACTGGTAGCAGCTTTGATGCCAGCAATCCCAAAAGAGCTGCTCCCGTTTGGCATGGCTGTGGTTGACGATAAACTGGCCAAAAACACTACAAAAGATTGAACCACAAAAGTGAAAAGCAAGGAAATAACCGTAGTGAAGCCGAAAGAGCGGTGATTTATAGAGTCTCTCGGCCTGCCGAGAGTATTGCTGAGCAACGTATGCTGTATTATGCGTCAATTATGTTGCCGCGAGCGCCAAAGATATTGTCTGTGTCTTTAATAAGTTGCTTACGCACGAATAATAATCAAAATCTACTAACCTATCGATTATCTGTAACCCACTCTTTATGTAGCTTACTGTGTAAGCAAGCCAAGGTCTGTTAACCAGCCATATTGATAAGCGACAGCTGAAGTGATGGTTGTGGATAGCTTAGCTTGACTAATAATGCCAGTGATAAGTTCAGGCTAATATTGACAGAAGAGCAATAGCGCCACTCGATTGTCTCATGATGTTGCAGGTCGGTCAAGCCTAGTGGTGGCTTGGAATCCAGCCTTCTGACCGAACATGGTGTATCTGAGCCCGCTGGCTCAACAGTAGCGGTTTTAAGCACTAGTGTTCCGTCACATGTGACGCAATGCTGTAAATTCCATGCAGTATCACTGCTGCCTTCACTATTTCTCTGGTCAGGTAGGACTCTAGTGCTGCAGATAGTTTTGGTGACATAATATAGATTGATTGAGTTCAGTTGCTGCGAGTTGTTAAATGCTGCAGTCATATTGTTGAGGATATGCATGCTATAGAACAAACCTAGCTGGCAGTTCTATTCTTCTCTATATGTACTTGATGTTCTCGGTCAGGTAGGAAAGTACATACCTATACGTGCGTGGATCAATCTCAATTGTAGCTGTTAGTGCCTATGATCAGATCGCAACGTCGCAGCATAAACGCTTGGTCTAATGCTATGATTATGATAAGAACTATTACGAATAAAACTTATTTGATATGAGAGTGATTAAAAGAGGGTTGCTGATAGTCTAGATAGGGAATAAGAGCGGGAGGATAGATAGATATGCTCTCCTTTAATATAGGCCAGGATATACCTTTTTTATACTTATTCCTAACCCTAAACGCTGCTGATGCTGTCTTATCTGTTACTAGTCGTAGCGTTAGGCGTTTTCTATTCCTGACAACATAGGGGTATGAGGCCTCCCTTGGGGAGTCCTTTCCCTAGCGTCCCCTCAAGGTCAGATTTCAAAGCACTAGGTACTTGCTGAATCACAAGCCGGTCGGTGCTTCCATATGAGGCAGGTGTATATACAGCATGAAGCAATCTCCATCTTTTGCCCCTGAGTCGCTGTTATATGATATAGCGATGCCTCCTTCTAATAATACCTAGTTCAAACGCAGCCTCCTTATATCCAATGCTGGCGATGCTCTATTTCTAGCGGCACTAATGCTCCTCGCCTGATAAGCCCTATTTGATATCACGCTTCTAAGATCTCTTCCTTGATTTAAGTCGCAGAAGGATCAGTCCAGACCGCTCTATTAACGCCAGCAGATTTATGCGTCGTATGATGCCAGGAAGGCTTCAGGGGCGGAGTGCGCCATCGTCAGCTCTTCACCTGCTATAAGAGGAGATATAAATTCTGATCCTGCTATACCGCCACCCCCTTTTCACAGCCTCATTATTTCCATAATATTTCTGGTATGATTACGTTATTAATCGCCTGATAAGATAGCTGTATTAAGTTATCTGCCGCTAATCTGTGTCGACTTCAACCTGTGTTACCCAGCAACGTTATATCCTAAGGAGGCTTAGCTGGACGAAGATAGTGAGATTAGTAGGGTGTCATAAGGATAGGTTTGTGATTAAGTAAGAAGTCAGGTTAAGTAAGTAGCAGCAAGTAGACTATTGTCTGACGGACAGACGCTAGGAAGGCCTCATAAGTCGTATGAGTAGCCAGGGTCCCTCTGCCACCTGATCTTTCTGCTTCTGTTTGTAACAGTGCAAATTGTTAGGGAAGATGTAGAACGAGTAAGGAGGATATAGAAACACTTATGGCTGAGACTATGCCCTTGACTCTTGCCCCTGCCACTTATGCTGTCTGCTTGTTGGATCTGGCGTCAACATGCCTCGTTTGGACGTAGATGCTGGTTCTCTTGGAGGGCTGGGGCGATGCGTAACCTGGCCAATCTTATTCCGCATTGCAGAACCAGTAGCTGAAGATTGTTATGCCTCTATATCAATATTAAATTGCAAACCTCTCAGAGTCTTATTAGAATGGACGTTAAGTTGAGCAGGGGTCTCTCAGCCTCTAATGGAGATGGCAGGTTTAGCCGGACCAATTGATGGAACCAACCTACCACCGCTCCGTTTGCTCACCCTCAGATCAGGCTTGCTACGTCCTGCCTAGGCTTGCCCAGGCTTGCTCAGGTCTTGCTCAGGTTCTGCTCAGGTCCTGCTCAGGCTCAGGCTCGACCACACTAGCTCTCGCTAGTGTCTATCTGAACCAACTACACTCGCTGTAGCCACCAGCCTCCCTAGATGCTCAGCTGTCTCTTCAGTGCACTCTACTGCTCTGCGACGAGACATCTACAGTGAGCCTGGCTTTATTGAGGTAGACTGGTGCGAGCAGAGCAATACCAGTAAAGAATAGAGAAAAATATCCAGCAGGTTGACTGAATCAGCCTAAAATCGCATTACCTTCAGCAATGAGATTTGAATCAATCACTGAGGTCTATAGGTAGCGTGCGCTTTTAGAATGATCGATGCTGGTTTGCAGGTCATAAAGGCGCTGGAGCGCTGAAAGTTTAGGGGATCTCAAGCTCCCTCATCCCCAAACGAACTGCTGAAGGCCCCATACCATTGTACTATAGGCTGCAGAAGGTAGCTGGGCTGAGGCTGTGCTACTGACTAGGCCGTCACACTGCTGGAGGTAGCGGCGTTTAGGCGGGACTATCGCTAAACATCCCTAATCTTATAGTAGCCGTGGGGGAAAGCAGTCGCAGACCTCACTAGGAGTGGATAGGTTTACCACTGAGCGACCAAACAATGTCGCTCCGGCCTCACTTCTCTGTTGATCCTCTCTCAGGGCAGCTGCAAGCGTGGACGGTGTGCCGACATTAGCGAAGGCTACACAGGAAACGGCAAATTCCACGTCATTCCAAGCAAGCCCAGCAGAGAGCCAATCAGACAGGAAATGTCATGGGTAGCTGCTGCGCCTAGCCCGCCGGAAATGACGGAAGGCATGGGCAATGCTACGACTACTCCACGGAGAATACCTTGGCGGTGCTTGACGCCGAGCACAAAATTTATGAAATCCGAAGGCTCCTGAAACGGTGGCCTACCGTCGAGAACGGTGCGATAGCGGGATCATGATGTTGCGTCCCGAAGTGGGGACGCTAAAAGGCGACCATTCTTGGTTGCCGAATGAGGCGGTTGGCAGCCGCCTCTGACCCGACTTTGAAGAGTGTGAGGGCTGGAGTAGTAGTCGGGTCGGTGACGACCGGCGAATGCCCGGTGTTGTATGTTTTTTGTCTGCGATGGCTTCATTTTTGACGTCCACAGCCGATGTTGTGATACTCTCGTGTCGAGTACCATTTTGCGGGGAAGAAACAAGCGAAAACTCAAACGAGTGAATGCTCTCATCGTACGCCTTTGAGGCGAACAGCACTTCGCAACGCTTCCATGGTCAAGTGTCATGCGTTGTGGAGATTGAACAACGACTACGAAAGGTAGGCTCGAGTCGGCAGCGCATCTGAGCGGGGCCGGGAGGCAACTCACAGAGTTGTCTTTTTCGGTTTGATCCGAGTCACATACTGTAGTCACGGTGGATCAAAGCCCGGCGTAAAGGAGAATTTTTGTTTTGTTTATATTACAGTTTCTTATGTTGGGCATCTGGCGTGCCAGCCAGGCCGTGGTATGGTACATCGTGAGTGGAACAGCTATAAGACAAGCCAAGAAAAGCCTTTTTAGGTAAGTTTCGTTTCATCTTACAATCCCCCGCCGTCATGCGTCGTCAAGACATCTCTCTGCATTTCGTTTTCTCTTCACCCTTTTTTTTTGTTTCCCCGCATGGGCAGCCAAGTCCTGTTTAGGCGTTGACGAAGCCCTTGACGTTCTTCAACCAGCGGACGTACTCCTTCTGCTCCTTGACGTCAATGTAGTCGGGGGCGAAGATGGCCAGGGCCTGGGTGATGCCGCGCTCCTCGAGGTAGCGCTCCATCAGGATCTGCAGGTCCTCGTCGAGGCTGCCGAAGGGGGGTCCGGGGTAGACATCGGCGCGGGCGTGGGCAATGTCGGCGGAGGAGCCGTGCGCCAGCTTGCCGTCCTCGTAGTAGTACATGTTCTCGACGGTGATGGCGCCGTCCTGGGCGGTGGCGTCGATGTTAAGGGCGCCGTCGGCCTTGCCAGGCTTCTCGACGACGATGCTCAGGCGGCAAGGGGGAGCGGCCTCGTCCAACTCGCCCTCCTCGTCCTCGATGTCCTCCTCGGGGTTGGCGGAGCGGGCGCCGTTCTGCTTGGTCTGGGGCTCGGAGGGGTCGTACTCGTCATCCAGGGCGCGGTCCTGCTCGTACATCTCGGGGTCGTAGTTAGCGAGGTCGGCGATGGAGAAGGTAACAGTGATCCTGCATGTTGTCAGTATATCGAGGCGCATAGACAGCTGCGCATTGAGAAACTCACTTCTCCTCGCCAAACTTGCGGGTAAGCTTGACCTCCTCCTTGCCGGGGGTGTCGTGGAGCTCAAACGGGCTGTTGTCGAGGAAGTCCTTAACGCTGGCGGGCAGCTGCTCGTTCTGCTTGACCTCGTCCTCGAACGACAGCTCGCTCTCGAGCTTGGCGAGAAGCTCAGCGTCGGTCTCGCCGGCAGGAGCTTTCCTGAAGGCGGAGCTGGAAAAGGCGGAAGCGCGCTGGACGGCGCCAAATGATGAGGCCTTGACGAATGCGCTGGGGCGGGCGCTCTGTATGAGAGTGGTGGCCGAGAGGCGGGTAAGAGTTCTGGGCGCAGAGCGCGCGATGGATCTGATGGAAAGCATTTTGGCTGGCGTTGCGTCTACTTGTCGAACGTGGTGTTATTTGACAATGGAAAGAAGGCTTTGGGGTGGAGTGGGTAAATCGATCTCTGCAGAAGCTTTGGAAGCTTCCCAAAAATTTTGAGATCAGACCAGACGCTGAATGTACCGGCGAAATGTTGTTCCGATGCTTGCAGCACGACAACTCACACTGCAGCTGAACGACATCAACCTCCACTCTTTCTCGAAGGACTCCACCGAAGAATCATGTTAAAAAAAAATCGTCAATGTTCTTGCCTAAGCTTAAACTGGTAATGACAGGGGCCGCCCTGCTTCCTGAGATCTCCAGATCCCAATCTGCCTGTTTGTCTCCTCCGGCTCAAACCCAAGGGCGATGCCAGCATCACTGGGAAGAGTTGTTGGTGACCAGTCCGTCTATCCTTTTGAACGCCTTGTAGCTCAAGTTTTGTTTGCCTTCCCTTAGAGTCTTTCATCAATGTAGACTGACACGATGCAATGCCGATGATGCCCGTGGGACCCGGCGGATCCTCTCCTTGCACTTCCAACAGTGGTGTCTGGTGCTGTTGCTGTCACTGCCGATCCCTGAATCACAACTCCCAAAGACCCCGTTCCTCTTGGCAAGCATGCATAACCTCTCTGAGATGAGGACAGTATCTTCATGGCTGCAGACGTTGCAGACGCGCAGATGAGTGACATATTTGCACATGTTGCTACAACGACTGTCAGTGAGATTCGACCATCGGTGCTTATCAGGACTCACTTGGAGGAGCAGGAGGTTCAATCGGATAGTTGCGGGTGTAGGCAGGGCAGATCAGTAAGATCGACGGAGGGGTTGCTGATAATGGCGAGGGGTAGATGACAGCCGGATGACAGTGAAGATCATCCGAGATATATCTACACTTGAGCACTTTTGTAGCCACGCTCTTGGGAAGCCCAAACAAGCCAGCCCGACCTCGTGGTACCGGGACTCGAACGATCCCAGGCAGTAAGCACCGGCATCCAGATCCTTCGACATCGCGCGGTCTGCTACGGCATCCTCCACGAAGTCTTGCCACGGAGGGATCGGGGTGTGAGTCAAGTGGAGATGCTTCCAGGGGTAGTGCTCACAGCGGTCAGAGAGCTGGAAGCGTCTAGCCGTCTTCAAGAGGATGGCGAGGTCGCCTGTGCAATGTAGCACCTGGGACAGGATGAGAGATCTGGATCCAGTTATGAGACGAGAGGCATTGCTTGGGACAGGCCTGTTTGGCGAACAACGTGGTTCCAGTAGTCTGGTCCAGGAGGCTCGGGGCAGATCGCAGCCGGGCTCTGGATCGGGTAGCCACCTTTGGAACAAGGAGAAATAGACGTCACTCATCAGACAATCTACAGGGACCGCGGACGGCAACATAATCGTCACTTGATGTGCGACATGGCAGCCCAATGATTCTTCGACGGAAGCCAGGTGTGGATTGATATTGGGCCGGGAGATCGATGGATCGTGTTCCAGCCTTGCCTGCGGCATCTACCGAGTGTGTTTCAAACGAGATCACCACGTTTGCTCTCTACATGATACCGTCTAAATGCTTGCCAAACAGATACAGCAGTCCCAGAGGATGCGGTCGAGCCGGCACTATCCCCAGAAGGCCACATGCCACCCACGTTTGCCGCCGGGCCGCCCGCCGATGCCCTGTGTAACAGGCGCGGAGAGAACATGCAGGCGAAGGTCGGCGATCCAGTGGTTTGGCCGCGCATGGCCTGCTGTGATCCGAGCTTTCGCCTCCGTGTTCTCATACGGCATTGCTGTATGTAACCGGAGAAATTGTCTGTTGACCAAACAAGACTCATGTCACGGCGCATGTTTGTCTCAGACAGCTGGCCCGCGAAAGAACCCCCGCAAATACACCGTAGAGCCGTACTCAGAAACTGCAGCCGAAAGGCTGTGCCCTTTTCCCGAATGATGCGCTGTTTGCTCCCCTGAACTGCCTTTTCCCGATTCCAAACGCCAGAAACGCCGCTGTGATGCTGTCATGATCTAGGAGCTGCCCTTGGGCGGGAAGCTGGACTTCTTGATGTTGCCGTCGGCATTTATCCTCACCCACGCAACGGAAGCGAGGTAGGCCCAAGAGCCCTCCCAGCGATCGAGCATCAGGATGTTGGAGTCATTTGTGAGGTCAGGAAGGTCTGGGGCTTGTTAGTCTCCCCATAGCCGATGCAGTCATAGCAGAACTCACAGAAGCCGTTTCCCTTGTATTCGTCTTCAAGGGTGGAGATCTTCAGCTTGAGCAAGTCCTCCTTAGCGCTCGCGGGGCGGCCCGGACGACGGGTCTTCTTGACCTCGGCGTACTCTTCATCATACTGATGCACAAAACTGGAAAAAGTCAGACTTGAAGTCCTCGCAACTGGCAATGTGGACGCACTCGTGAATGAGCTCCTGGATAGTGGCGAGGTCGAGCGGCTTAGAGCCCTTCTCCTGAATAGCCTTTTGGAAGTAAGAAGCACGGGTGACTGTGGCAGGTCAGCTTTCAGCTCGTTATCTGCTGCGAAATGAGCTGTCTTACGCATGGGCTGCTCCTTCTTTCCTCTGGTGGCCGCAAGCTTCTGCAGCTTGTCGTCTCTCACCGACGCCTTGTGAAGACGCTTGGAGTCTCTGGAAAACTCATGCAGTGCATCGACATGTCCGTTGCGCTTCTTGGCAATCTGTTTGCGGGTCTTTGACAACGTGGTAGGCATTTCGATGGTGATATGGCTGGTCAAATGACGTGTCAGGAGAGTTAAAGAAAATTCGACAGTGAGACACAGAAAGATTGAGAACGAAATGATCCAGATGTCTCTCGACTGCACACTGCTTTGGGTGTCGGTCTGCTGTCTGTGCCCCGGCGAAAAATCCCATCCTCTGAGCTGCAAGCACTCTGTGAAAAAAGCAGTCGCCCCACTAAGTTCGGAAAGGGTCCAATAATCTTCAGCCGGATCAGGAACCAGTGACGTTGCTCTGGAAAATCCCGAGCTTCTGGCGCTAGTCCCTTTCGGGGCACTCCTCTGTGCCCAGGCCACAGCAAAAAAAGAGTCGCGATATGACTTGACGCGGGTGGACACACCGCGTTCCAATATAGCAGGACCAGGTCCCCCCGGCCGTCCCTTTCCCGTGCAGGATGCCCGCGATTCACTCCACCTGCACACCTTCTCTCCTCTGACTTCACCTTCGTCGGTGAATTCTAGTCCTTCAGCTCCGACTAAACTTCCCAGCTCTCTTCCGAACGTCGCCCGCCGTAGATAGTCGACTTCCACTCCCGCCCGCAACTAATCCGCAAGCATAGCGCCGAGTGTCTTTGTTTACATTTGCCCCCGGATCACCTGACTTGGCGTATCGATCCTCACAACTCCGCGAATCCACCCTCTTTACGCGTCTTTGCCTTTCGACGGATGGCCTAAAGCATTGTTTTTACCTTTGTCAGTCCGGCTATTGGCCTGAAACCCGGATCGAGAGCGATCTCCAGCCCTCGAAACTTCTGCTCTGCACTTTGAGGGCCTGCGAGCCGTTCCCTTGGATCAACAATGGGCGTCTCAGGTACTTGCTCTCCCTTGCCTCGGGACCTCGTGCATTGCGTTACTCACCTCTGCTAGGCCTTCTCCCGCTGCTCAAGTCCATCCACAGGCCCGTCGAGCTCAAGAAATTCAAGGGCGAAACGCTCGGTGTCGACGCCTACGGATGGCTTCACCGCGGAGCCATTGCCTGCGCCGTGGACCTGGCCCAAGGCACCCCCACACGCAAGTGAGTCTAAACGTCCATTCCAGGTTGCCATCGGATGTGACCTAACCCTGCCTCAGATATGTCGACTTCGCCATGCACAGGGTAAGGATGCTTCTGCACTTTGGTGTCAAGCCCTACCTTGTCTTTGATGGCGACTTCCTACCCAGCAAGGCAGCCACCGAAGGATCCAGAGCTAAACGCCGCGATGAGAGCAAGAAGACAGCAATGGAGCTGCTCAAGGCCGGAAAGCCCTCCCAAGCGCACCTCGAGTTTCAGAAGGCCATCGACGTGACACCGGAAATGGCCCGCAATCTCATCGACGAATTGAAAAAGCTGGATGTCTCGTACGTCGTTGCACCGTACGAAGCAGATGCTCAGCTCGTCTACCTCGAACGCCAAGGCCTGATCGACGGCATTTTATCCGAAGACTCGGATCTGTTGGTTTTCGGATGCAAGCGGCTCTTGACGAAGCTCGACCAGTACGGCAACTGTATCGAGATCAACCGCAGGGACTTTTGCGCATGTCGGGAGGTGTCGTTGACGGGCTGGTCGGATACCGACTTTCGGCGTATGGCCATTCTGAGCGGCTGTGATTACCTCGAGGGTATCAACAATATGGGACTAAAGACGGCTTACCGGATGTTGCGCAAGTACAAGACGCCAGAACGATTGGTCCGCATGTGCCAATTCGAAGGAAAGCACCGCATCTCGGAGAACTACCTGCCGCGATTCTTCCAGGCCGAGTTGACGTTCCTCCACCAGAGAGTCTACTGTCCGACAAAGAAGGAGATGGTGTTCCTGACCGAGCCCGAAGCGGGTAAGGGTGTTGAGGATATGCCGTTCATTGGTGCTTATGTCGAACCCGAGATGGCCACGGCCGTCGCTGTTGGAGATGTCAACCCAATGACCAGGGAGACCATTATCCCTGCTCCCATGCCCGGAGGCAAGTCGCCCAAGTCCGACTCTAAGAGGAGACACTCTCAGTCCGCCGAGGCTCTCGCAGCCTCTTCGAACCGCACACGACAAGCCGCCAAGCCTATCGATTCCTACTTCAAGGGCCATCAGCGTATTCCCATGGGCGAAATGGATAGCAACTGTTTCTCTGTCGACCCAGAGCGCGTTGCCGCCCTCACTCATAACGGCCTAGTACCCCGCGTCTTTCCGCTGCCCAGACCATATATCGAAGGCTCATCCTCACAACCAACCGAATCTCGCCCTACACGAACCGCCCGTTCAACAACCTCTCCACGTCTACTTCGACGGCGGACAGAACCCA